CTCTCTCTCTCTCTCTCTCTCTCTCTCTCTGTATTTAGCTTTTATTTTCCTCTTTAATGTCAAAAGGTATTAGCTTTCCTTTCAATTCATGCAACATTGATACATTGATACTTACATGTTTTGGTGACTATCAGGGAATTGCAAATTTTGATGGAACATTGAAGATGTACTAGATCAATATGGGCGATTTCTGTTATTCTTCGCCCAGTTTTAATAATATTAAGAATTGTAAGTACCTCTTCCCAACTCATTTTTGTGAAATGACATGAAGATTAAAAGGGAGAATGAATGACTAATTAGAACCTTGGTCTTTTTAAAGTTCTTTTTAATGGTTTCTTGCCTTTAGGATAGTGTAATAATGACTCACATGTTGGGGTTAATTTGTTAAAAGAGTAAATAATTATAATTCTCTTGCTGCTACTTCACTTGCAAATGTTTGATGCTTCAACCAAAATGATTTTAGATTTATGCTGCATGATGCTTTGAAGATAAATTTTCATACAAGACAATTTTTTATTTTTGTCTTTTTTGGGGGATCGAGTTGACATTCCTTGATGTTCACATTACCAATTTGTAGTTTTGATTACTAAGAAAATATTATCCTTTCATAGAAAAGGAAAGATTTAAAAGTTGGTATTTCATTCTAACTTAACATTGAACATAATTGGATTGGATGCATTAGATTGTATTCTGACTGACCTGTAAAATTTATGAGTTCCTAATTTCTCATGAGAAATAAGGATAAAATGCAATTATCATTGACAAGAGTGTGTCCAAGAATGGTTTGGTAGAATTCGCTAATATTCCTTGGGTGGCTTACTTTGCTTAAGTTGTATTTTTTTTCCGTCAACAAGTAATTGATTATCATGTTCTTAATTTTATCCAACTTTGGTTCTGTTTTGCCTCAAGATAATATAATTCCATAAACTGATTCGATTCTCTTACGGAAATGCCTCTAAATTTAGGTTATGATCCTCTTGCAATTAATGAGGTGATTCTAAGTACACAATAAAACATGTATTCCAGAAAACCCATTGGAAGCCACCACTTGAAGTATAGTACAAGCCATAAAATTATACCTTGAATTAGATGCACAAACTTGAATGCATCTCCTAGAATCTCTGACCACTAGGTACAAGAATACTGAGGATGATAAGAATAATGATTATTGTAACTACATTTTATGACAAAATTTCAGGACAATTTTTTTAACCATTGATCATGTGAGTCCATATGAGACCCATACCATGATCAATGGTTACCATAAATTATCCTAAATTTTGATCCTAACTATCATTATTTGGATAATAATGAGCCTTAAAGTCTAATGCCTTAAAAAGGCTAAGCAAAGGCTAAGCAATGATATTTTTTTAAATGGTCAATTAAAAAACCTATGACTATTAATTATACATGCTTTCAGTAAACTAGCAGAATCCCATATTATTATTTGAAACCAAGCTCCTCATTTTTAGCAAGATGTGTAACCAGAAAAACAATATGGTGTTATAAAGATATTTAGAATATTAGGCTTAAGGTGGAGTTTTAGAATTTGACTAGCATGAATTTTAGGAATTTATGTTTTCTTATTGTGCAACCAAACAGGGTAATTTATTATTATATTCTCTATTATAACAAAAAAAATAAAAATGGGGTAAAAAGATATCAATGCATTGCAGACACACGGAAACAAGAAAGGGAGTTAATTGCAAAATTGTACTAATTTAATGCACTCTCCATGTTTAATTTAAAAAGGGGATCATAGACTTGGAAACTTGCAATCTCCCCATTGTAGCAACGATTGTACACATGGTCAAAGATCCAAGACGCCAATGGTCCATGCAAGTTGCAATAATAAAAGAAAAATTGGCAAACAAATATATATTGCCTATCCATTATGTTAAAATCTATCAAACATCTCACAATAAGCATGTTTACAATGAATATTACATTTATGTAACATGAAGATGCAACAATCACTACAACAACACAATGTACGTGTGTGAAAATCCACTTTATTGTTGAAAATTCAAACATAAGATCAACTTTTAATTAAATCACAAACTATTACTTTATCCCATAGCTCACTCCATAACATTTTAGAATACTTACATTATTGCAGATTAAAAAAAAATGCCTGCAATACCATGGGGATCATAGGGCAATTTAAGAAATGAAGATCTTGAATATAAAGTTTTTTTTTTTTTTTTTTTTTGTTAAAATATCTAAGAGCAAACTATATGATTACCTAAACTACTAAAGTAACCAGATGCCTTACACAAAATCAAAAACTTTATGATTTCTTGTGATGGAGACTTCTTGCTGCTGAATCTTGTAGGTATATGAACAACTTCCTGCACAATCCATTTACTTTTTCAAATATCATGATTACTAGTTCTGGCTGGATCTATGTGCGATTAACTTTATAAATCATCTGTTACTGCAAGGGATTATGCTATTGAAAGACTTATAGAGGCCTTGTGGGGAGATGATAATGGGTTAATTTGTTAAAAATTATTGTATTTGTTGTTAATTTTGTTATCTTTATAGTATTGATTCCAAGAAACATGTTGATGAAGGATTCTCCAGATCTATTCCAGTTTGTGAAAGATGTTATGGAAAAGCTAGGCTATGAAGCATGGAGTTAATCTTCTCATAAATTTAAAACATGCTTATATCTTAAGTTTTGTCTGTTTCCTACTCAGTTTGCTTTTGTGGATTCCATAATATCTATTAAAATATATTGGTTGGTGTTTGAAGTCTATGGAGATAATTAATACAAAAGGTGTGAACTAAAGAAAGGATAATTATATGTATAATGATGGTAGTGGATATATATTTAATCACTGCCTAGTTTATTTAGTTTAACATCTAATTGGAGTTACAGTTACTCATCTTTGCTTTGACAGGCTTTAGCCTTGGAATTACCAGACAACCCTGAAAGATGACTGCCTTGATGATAACCATTCAATGTTTTCCACAATGATTCTTCTTGAAATATTTCAAGATCTAGTTTGAAAGTATTAGCTTTGACATGTAACCATGCCTATGTAATTGTATGATTATTGGTGTTGGAATAAACTGAATACTTACTTTGTTGAAGGAAACCATTCACTTTTACTGAGTTTTGACTCTTTGAATTGAAATTGTCTTGCCTGCATGATTACTAAAAGAGCGATGAATACTTGCTTTGCAAAATTATAAACTTAGCTAACAGATGCAAGGTATGAACTTTTAACAGCTCAGTTATAACATTAAAACTTCAAATGGTAGTTGCTGTATTTGACTTGCTTCGCATATAATGTCAGTTCCAACTTTCAAGGTTAAAAAATATCCTGACTTGATTTGATTTTACTGAGCTAGTTTAATTATTTTAATGAAGCATGATATTGTTATACTTATATCAGCTTATTGAGTTTTCATCTCTGGTAAGCATACTCAAAAGTTATCTTCTTTTGGACTGCAATTAGTAATATGCCTTGCAATCTGCCTCTCTTACTCATCCTACCCCCTAGCCTTTTGCCACCCGTCCTCTGAGCTTTGCATCCATTTGTGTTGTAGCTTGGATTAGCTGTTAGCTTCTCCTAAGCTCTTGAGTGAAATTTGTCGTATGCTGGCTCCAATATATGTAAATAAGCAAATTGTCTTGGCAAATGCTGTTAGAATAGGCAGAGTGCATGATAGAAAGCCTACTTACAATGTATTCCTTGACAGGTATTGTCCACAGTTCCTCCATATTGTCTCCCCTTATCACGTATCTTACAGCAGTCTAACAGTTGGCTGTATCTTTTCCAGTGCTGCAGATGGTCCAGATTTACTGTCTAGAGAACTGGAATTGGTTAGAAATATTGATTTAGCCGTCAAAGAGGAAAGATATGACGATGCAGGTAACAAGAATAGGAATATTAAGAGTTTGCTTAAGATACTGATTTTTTCCATCCCTATTTTCTCCTCTCTTTTTTTTTTTTTTTTTTTTTTTTTTTTT